AAGGCTTCCAGCCGTACATGTTTGAGCCCTTGCCTCGCAACGCTGCCAGTTCTGTTAGCTCTACGCCTGCCGAAGACACAGACGTCCATCCCCGTGAACACTGGGACGCAACTCAATGGGAACACTGGGACGCAACTCAATGGGAAAGGAAAGGATTCTGGTTTCAACCGTTGCGTATATTAGCTGCGACACATGAATCAAGATGCTATGACCGAAAACATTTGATTAACAAATGACTGTTGATAAATGATTGGCCGAATTTAAGTGTTCAGGCTGATGTAGGACTAACTGGCCTGCAGAAGATAACGAAAGAAACAGACTTTAAGACAGGATTTTTTTTTAATAGAAATTTTCTATTTTTTTGGACAATATTGTCTGATAAAGAAAACATTTATATACATGTTTAAGCCGGAATGATTTGACATTTAAATATGATTTCCCTACGACTTTAATGTGCACAAACAAGGAATAGTTGTATTATCTATACGTGTGAAAGGAGTTTTTTGGGGCCCCTGGGAACTTGGGGCCCGAGGCAACCACCTAGTATTGCCTAATGGTAAATTCGCCCCTGAATGGATCCACTCTTTTGGATGACATGTTTATTTTTGGTGAATCTTTCTTTTTTTTCTGCTGTTGTTTCTGTTGGTGTATAAATGTTGGAGCTTTCAGCACATTTAAATCCTCTGATCCGGATGGTTGACAGCTGCGTTTGCTTTGAAGGAGGTTTCATCCTAATCATTTGGTTTTGTGGGTTTTTCCAGTCAATCTCATCAACCAGAGTCTCTGTTTAGGCCGTTAAAGTTGTTTATCTGCCCCGAAGCTCCAAACTCCCAAAGCTGTGAGGCTGCTTAACAACAAGCAGACTGTCTCAGATAAACTCGTGTTTTCTTCTGAGCGCTTCCTGTTTTCTGTTTTTAGCAGCGCTGCTATAAAAAGATCCAGCGCAGCGTGTTGACTTTGATCTGAATGAAATTCCCTGTCAGCCTCTGATGCCTTTCCTTCTCCTCCGTGTCTCTGCTGCCTCAGGGTCTTTGTTTGGGTTTAACCCACCCAGGTTAGAATGACCCAGACTCTGATGTTCAACTCATATAATTCATCAGAGGTTAAGAATCTGGGATTTTTTTCATATTTTAAATTCTTTTCCAATTTTATGTGTTTTATTTTATTTTT